TTTAAAAATTGGCCGTCAACCCTTCCTTAAATTATTGGGGGATAGGTGCCGTTTCCTAGACATTCCTAGACATTTCCAAGACACTTCCTCTTTGGCGGGAAAAGGTCCCCCGCGCGGTCTTTGCACCCGCGCCCGGGGAGGGCCCCGCTTCAAACGGGGGGGGCACGTTTGTTGTCAAGGCTTTCGACGCCCCCAAAAGGGTGGGGTACCCCCCCCCGGCCATGGGAAGTTTTCCGGGAGTGTGCGCAATTTCGAGGGACGGCCTGTACGCGTGGGTGGGCAGCCCGGTCCCCCCGTAGGTCCACTTGGGGCCTTTGGGGCGGGGGCCCGGGTTTTTTAACCCCCCGGTAAGGGCGGGCAAGGGGCAAGCCCCCCACCGGCGAGAAATTGGGGCCCCCTTTCCCCCTTTTTTTGAACCCAGGCGACCCGGCAAAAGGCGACCCGGCGGGAGGGGCAGGGGCAGGCCCAGGTTCAGGGGCAGGCCCAGGGCCAGGGCCAGGGCCACCTGGCCCAGGGGGGGGGGGACGGGTGCCCCCCCCCCCCCCCCGAGGGGCCTTGGGCCTTGGGGGCCCCCCCCGGGGAGTTGAGGAGCGGGAGTTTTTCCCGGGAAAGGGGCCCCCCCCCCCCCCCCCCCCCGCTAACCCACTGGTACCTCAAGGTGATGGATGAACGAGCCTCATGAACCACTCGCGAACCACTCAGAGGCACGAGCTGCTCACCGGCAGAAAAAGAAAAAACACCGCCTTAGGCACGAGCTGCTCACCGGCAGCCGAGACGGCACGGCGAGGGTGTGGAGGTGGGAGGGCGGGTCCCACTCGGAGCCGACGGCGCTCGTCCTCGCGCCGCGCGCCGCGTCGACGCCGGTGCTCTCCCCTCGCGCTCCACTGATGCATGAGTACTTTCTCATCATAAGAGTCGTGAGCAGGTGCACGCCCTCCTCCTCTTCATCCGCCTCAAGTGTGAACAGCGCCTCTTCACACCTCCAGCTGTGAGCAGGTGCACGCCCTCGCGCTCCACTCGCAGAGCGGCGCCAAGCCGCCGGCGCTGTGGATTGATGCCGTCGAGTGGAGCAGCGACGGGCGCTTCGCCGTCACCGCCGAGTCACTCCACAAGTAGACGCCCCCCCCGAGCCCTCCCCGCGCCCCTCCCCCGCCCCCGGCTCCGAGCCTCCTCCCCCGCCCCTCCCCGCAGGCAGACGCGCGAGGAGCCCTGCCTCTCGGCGGCGCTGCGCGCGTGGAGCAGCTGCAGCGGCGCATGCCTCGCAACCTTCTCCGAGGGACCTCTCCCCACCCACGTCCTGCGCGCCCACCCGCACGACCCGTCCGTCTTTGCCGCCGCCGGCTACGACGGCGAGCCCCACCAGCCGCCGCGGCAGTGGCCGCCGCGTCGCCGCCGC